TTCTCCTGCCGCAGCCTCCTGAATAGCTGGGATTACAGGCACGAGCCACCACGCCCAGCTAATTTTTGTATTTTTAGTAGAGACGGTGTTTCTCCATATTGGCCAGGCTGGCCTTGAAGCCCTGACCTCAGGTGATTCACCTGCCTCAGCCTCTCAAAGTGCTAGAATTACAGGCGTGAGCCACTGCCCCTGGCCTCACACGAAACCTTTGATTTATAGAGAGCAGAGGAAAGAGCTGACTACGCCCGTCCTTTTCTGGAGTTACTGAGTGGTCCCTGGGCAGCCCCAAGGTCAGGAGCACCCAGAGTTCTCCGGTGCTCCAGACTTGAGCACGAGGGATGGTCCCAGGGGTGCCATGTGCGCCTCATGGACATCTCTGCTTAGCAGAGCCCCTGGCCTTGGGCATTGCCAGGATAGCGGGTGAGAACCAGATCTTCTCATCCGAGGGGCCTCAGGACCTGTGGTTTTCTCAGATTTCTATGCTTCCCAGGGCTGGGCTACTAGTGGAAGAAAATGCTCTATTCTGTCTCCTCTCAAGTCTCCCAAGATGCCCAGCCTGTTGAAGGAGGAGCAGAACCAGGGAGCATTTCCTGCTAGGGCCCAACCTGTGTCTCCTTCAGATGACACATGGGACTCAGGGCCTTTCCATGACCAGGGACCCAGCTGGGCCTCGCCGGGCACAGGGCCCAGTGCTGGAAACATGACCCCGGGGGCAGCAGGGCAGGAGGGAAGCTGGTAGGGCTGAGACAGTCAGCCAGGCTGAGTGGGGGACTCATGCCTGGTTGGAGCTGGAAAATGAGTGGGTGTGTTTGGCGAATGCAGGTGAGTCCCATGGCTGTGCGGGGAGGGGAGGGCTGTGTGGCAGGAGAGCAGAGGGGGAAGCCCAGGCTCTGCTGAAGAGATGCCCCTCACACCACCTCCGCATGCATTGCCCGCTCCTCCCATAGCTCCTGCCCCGCCATGCTCAGCCTGACTCTGACTTCCACACTGGAGAGAAACATGATCCCTTTGTGCTATCAAACTTGCTTATTTGGTTTCTAAGCACTTCATGTGAGTCTAAAGGAAAAAAAATATTTTCTACCTTTGTTTGTCTTAAGAAAATAACACTTTTTTTTTTTCCTATTTTAACAGGCAGACGGCTAATCCACATCATGTTCGTCCCCGACGTGGTTCTGCAAGAAAACAAAGGGGCCGGTTTGGCTTCCCCATGCATGATTTACTCTTCGAGATGATTCAGAGGTCACTTCATTTTTGTTAATCAGCAGTGTGTCTGGCTTTGGCACTCTCTGCCAGTCTGTGCAGGCTGCAGTGGCTCCCCTGCCCGGCCTGCTCTTCCTAACTCCTTGTGCACAAGGGGTGATGGCCAGCTGGCTGTGGGCATGGCAGCAAAGTGTGGAGGAGAGGGGTGGAGTCTGCCCCACTGGGATCTTCCTTCGGAATCCTTTCCAGTGGCTGTTGCCTCTCAGCTGCCGGACAGCTTGACACGGAAAAGGAAATACATGGAAAGGGAAGCAGCCAGTTGGCACCTGCAGCGGCTGCCCTCTGGGACCACTTGGGTAGCGCCCCCCAGCCTCGCTCTCCACAAGGGACTTTTGCTGATTGGTTCTTAGTGCCTTAGCAGCCCCAGATGGTGGCCCGAAATAAAGGGACCAGCCCTTCATGGGTGGTGACGTGGTAGTCACTTGTAAGGGGAACAGAAACCTCTTTGTTCTTACCAGGTGAGAGTATAGATAGTGTCTTCCCTTGGTGCAAGGGAAGCAATTGCAAAGGTACTTGCCCTGAGCACTCCTGGTGCAGGTCTCCACTTGCACCTCCAGCGGGGCGCCTCCTCATCCTCCCCAACCCTGCTCTCACCACCCTGGAGATTGCACATGCCCCTTGGTCCTGGCAGGATGCCAAGTCTGGCATCATGTTGGCCTCTTTAGGCCTGCTAGTCACTGGAAATTGAGGTCCATGGGGGAAATCCAGGATGTTCAGTTTAAGGTACACTGTTTCAATGGTATGTTTCTACACATTGCTACCTCAGTGCTCCTGGAATCTTAGTGTTTGATGTCCCCAATTAGTTCACCTACATTAAACTCTTTGAAACTGTATCATCCTTGCCAAGTATGAGCAGTGGCCTGTTTGAGCTGCTTTGACAAAATGACTCCTGACTTAATGTTCCATAAATGAATGTGCTGAAGGAAAGTGCCCATGGCGACAGTGAAGAAGAGAAATGTGTTTTGTTTTGGACTCTCCGTGGTCCCTTCCAATGCCATGGGTGTCCAACCAGGGGAAGGGTCCCTCTTGCATTGCCAAGTGCCGTAACCATGAGCATGACTCTACCATGGTTCTGCCTCTTGGCCAAGCAGGCTGGTTTGCAAGAATGAAATGAGTGATTCTACTGCTAGGACTTAACCTTGACATGGAAGATCATGCGGGCCCATCCTCAGGATCTGTCTGTGCATGTGCCTCTGCAGAGGGCAGCATTCCCAGGTCCCTTGGAAACAGGTGGCATCGTAGGTGCCTGCTCCCCAAGACACATTCTAAAAAGCGTTGTAATGGTGAAAAGTCTTCCTTCTTTATTGCCCCTTTTTATTTATGTGACCAACCGTTTGTCTTTTTTGTATCTTTTTTAAACTGTAAAGTTCAATTATGAAAATGAATATCATGCAAATAAATTATGCAATTTTTTCCAAATAATTACTCGGGGTTCTGCCGGGCGAGCAGGACCAGCCTGTGTTTTCTTGGAAGAGGGTGATGTTGAGGGTGCTGGTCAAAGGAACAAGGTGAGGCCAGGCCGGGCTTGACACACATCTGGTTGGTGCCCTCAGTTCCTGCAGCCTGTCCTATTGGAGAGGTCCCTCGAATGACTCATTATTATTGTATTAGCCTGTTTCCATGCTCCTAATAAAGACATACCTGAGATTGTGCAATTTACAAAAGAAAGAGATTTATTGGACTTACAGTCCACATGGCTGGGGTGACCTCACAATCATGGCAGAAGGCAAGGAGGGGCAGGTCACATGTTACGTGAATGGCAGCAGACAAAGGGAGAGCTTGTGCACAGAAAATCCCCACCCTCCCTTTTTTTTTGAGACAGAGTTGCACTCTTGTTGCCCAGGCTGGAGTGCAATGGCACAATCTCGGCTCACCACAACTTCCATCTCCTGGGATCAAGCCATTCTTCTGCCTTAGCCTCCAGAGTAGCTGAGATCACAGGCATGTACCACCACATCCTGGATAATTTTGTATTTTTAATAGAGACAACGTTTTGCCATGTGCCCAGACTGGTCTCAAACTCCCAGCCTGAGCTGATCCAACCGCCTCGGCCTCCCAGAGTGCTGGGATTACAGGCATGAGTCACTGCGCTGGGCTAGAAATTCCCATTTTTAAAACTATCAGATCTCATGAGACCCATTCACTATCATAAGAACAGCACGGGAAAGACCCGCACCCATGATTCAATCATCTATCAGGTCCCTCTCATAACACATGGGAATTATGGGAGCTACAAGATGAGATTTGGGTAGGAACACAGAACCAAACCATATCATTCTGCCTCGGCACCCCCCAAATCTCATATCTTTACATTTCAAAACAAATCAGGCTTTCCCAACAGTCCCCCAAAGCCTCAACTCATTTCAGCATTAACTCAAAAGTCCACAGTCCAAAGTCTCATCCAACACATGGCAAGTCCCTTCTGCCTATGAGCCTGTGAAATAAAAAACAAGCTAGTTACTTCCTAGATACAATAAGGGTACAGGCATGGGGTAAATACAGCCATTCCAAATGAGAGAAATTGGCCACCACAAAGGGGCTGCAGTCCCCTTGCACAAAATCCAGCAGGGCAGTCAAATCTTAAAGCACTAAAATGATCTTCTTTAACTTCATGTCCCACATCCAGGTCATGCTGATGGAAGAGGTGGGTTCTCATGGTTTTGGGCATTTCCACCTCTGTGGCTTTGCAGGGTATAGTCTCCCTCCTGCCTGCATCATGGGCTGGCATTGAGTGTCTGTGGCTTTTCCAGACACTTGGTGCAAGCAGTCAGTGAATCTACCATTCTGGGGGCTGGAGGATGGTGGCCTTCTCCTCACAGCTCCACTAGGCAGTGCCCCAGTAGGGACTCTGTGTAGGGGCTCCCACCACACATTTCCCTTCTGCACTGCCCTAGCAGAGGTTCTCCACGAGGGCCCCACCTCTGTAGCAAACTTCTGCCTGGGCATCCATGTGTTTCCATACATCTTCTGAAATCTAGGCAGAGGTTCCCAAATCTCAATTTTTGTCTTCTGTGGAGTGTCAGGCTCTACACCATGTGGAAGCTGCCAAGGCTTGAGGCTTGCACCCTCTGAAGCCACAGCCCAAGCTCTACATTGGCCCCTTTTAGCCATGGCTGCAGTGGCTAGGATGCAGGGCACCAAGTCCCTAGGCTGCACATAGCATGGGGATCCTGGGCCTGGCCCATGAAACCACTTTTTCCTCCTAGGCCTCTGGGCCTATGATGGGAAGGGCTTCTGTGAAGACCTCTGACATGTTCTGGAGACACTTTCTCCACTGTCTTGTAAATTAACATTCAGCTCCTTATTAATTATGCAAATTTCTGCAGCTGACTTGAATTTCTCCTCAGAAAATGGGATTTTATTTTCTATTGCATTGTCAGCCTGCAAATTTTCCAAACTTTTATGCTCTGTTTTCCTTTTGAAACTGCCTTTAACAGCACCCCAGTCACCTCTTGCATGCTTTGTGGCTTGGAAATTTCTTATGCCACATACCCTAAATCATCTCTCTCAAGTTCAAGGCTCCACAAATGTCTAGGGCAAGGGCAAAATGCCACCAGTCTCTTTGCTAAAACTAACAAGAGTCACCTTTGCTCCAGCTCCCTACAAGTTCCTCATCTCCATCTGAGACCACCTCAGCCTGGACTTTATTGTCCATATCATCTCCATCTGAGACCACCTCAGTCTGGACTTTATTGTCCATATCATCTCCATCTGAGAGCACCTCAGTCTGGACTTTATTGTCCATATCATTAGCATTTTTGTCAAAGCCATTCAAAAGTCTGGTGTGGTGATTTATGTCTGTAATCCCAGCATTTTGGGAGGCCAAGGCACATGGATCATCTAATGTCAAGAGTTCAAGACCAGAGTGGTCAGCAGGGTGAAACCCCATCTCTACAAAAATACAAAATTAGCCAGACATGATGGCAGGTGCCTATAATCCCAGCTACTTGGGAGGCTGAGGCAGGAGAATCGCTTGAACCCAGGAGATGGAGGTTCCAGTGAGCTGAGATCCTGTCAGTGCACTCTAGCCTGGGCAATGGAGTGAGACTTCATCTCAAAAAAAAAATAATAATAATTTTAAAAAGCCATTCAACAAGTCTCTAGGGACTTCCAAACTTTCCCACATTTTCCTGTTTTCTTCTGAGCCCTCCAAACTGTTCCAACCTCTTCCTGTTACCCAGTTCCAAAATCACTTATCCATCTTCAAGTATCTTTACAGCAGTGCCCCGCTCTACTGGTACCAATTACTGTATTAGTCTGTTTCTGCGCTGCTGATAAAGACATACTCAAGACTGGGCAATTTACTAAAGAAAGAGGTTTATTGGACTTAACAGTTCCACGTGGCAAGGGAGGCCTCACAATCATGGTGGAATGCAAGGAGGAGCAAATCACATTTCACATGGATGACAGCAGGCAAAGAGAGAGCTCATGCACAAAAAAGCCTGTTTTTAAAACCTGCACTGCCCTAGCAGAGGTACTCCATTAGGGCCCCACCCCTGCAGCAAACTTCTGCCTGGGCATCCATGCGTTTCCATACATCTGAAATCTAGGCAGAGGTTCCTAAACCTCAATCCTTGACTTCTGTGCACTGGCAGGCTCAACACCACAAGATCTTGTGAGACTCATTCACTACCATGAGAACAACACAGAGAAGACCTGCTCCCATGATTCAATCATCTCCCACCAGGTCCCTCGCACAACACCTGGGAATTATGGGAGTTACAAGAGGAGATTTGAGTGGGGACACAGAGCCAAACCATATCAAATATTATTTTTTGAGACAGAGTCTCACACTGTTGCCCAGGCTGGAGTGTAGTGATGCAATCTCAGCTCACTGCAACCTTCATCTCCTGGGTTCAAGCTATTCTCATGTCTCAGCCCCCCAAGTAGCTGGGATTATAGGAACATGCCACCATGCCCAGCTAATTTTTGTATTTTCAGTAGAGATGGGGTTTCCCCATGTTGGCTAGTTTGGTCTCTTAACTCCTGGCCTCAAGTAATCTTGGCCTCCCAAAATGCTGGGATTACATGTGTGAGCCACTGCACCCAGCCCCTTGAACGACTCCTGAGTGGGCATTGTCTGGGGCTGAAGTGTTGGGGATAGTCTTGCCATAAACTCAGGTGCCCCATGTATTCCCAGTCTTTCTTCTGGTTCTCCCATGGCTACCTGATCCAGCTCCAGTCCCATTTTCCCTTCAGGCCAAGACTATCACCCCAGAGCCTGACTCTGTAAAGAGCCACACCCACCCCTGATTGGAGTTCAACTCCAGGCACAACCCTCTGCTGCTATGAACACAAAGGGAGCGTGGTGTATCAAAGTAGCCCAGCATGAGCCACAGCTTACATTCCTGTTGCGTCTGGTGTTTTAAGACAAATACTACTTCTAAAGTAACATTGAAAAAATTCACTAATGCAGCAGCTAACTCCTTTTAAATGTGTTTGCCCCACAAATAAGCTAGATATTTGTTGGGATGTATTTGGCTAAACGGCTTGTTGGAGTCATCTTCTTTGCTGGAACTGAAGAGGCCGATTTTATAATCTCCTAAAAAGCCCACCAACCTACGTGAATAGTCAGATCTTTTTTTTCCCTTGGATGAAAATGAAAGTGGGATCTGACCACTTGAAACCAAGAATTGTGTCCCTTTTGTTGCTTTTAGTGCTACCGAGAGGAGGATTTACCACTCAGATTGGGTTCTCTTCCTCTGAAACAAAAACTGTTATTTGGGAGAACTTTCTAGTTGACTGGTTTTGCTTCTTGCTTGAGAAGGGTAGTGAGAAAGGCATGTGCTCCTGAGCATCTTAGAAGATAGTCACGAGTTGATATGGTCTGGCTGTGTCCCCACTTAAATCTCGTCTTAAATTGTAGCTCCCATAATTCCCACGTGTTGTGGGAAGGGCCCAGTGAGAGGTAATTGAATCATGGGGGTGGTATACCCCATACTGTTCTCATGGTAGTGAATAAGTCTCATGAGATCTGATGGTTTTATAAAGGGTTTCCCCTTTCACTTGGCTCTCATTCTCTCTTCCCTGCCACCAAGTAAGATGTGCCTTTTGCCTTCCACCATGATTATGAGGCCTCCCCAGCCACGTGGAACTGTGAGTCCATTAAACCTCTTTATCTGTTTATCTTTATAAATTAATGCAGTCTTGGGTATGTCTTGATTAGCAGCGTGAAAACGAATACATGAATCCTGAATGTCATTCAAACAAAGCTCACGCCCAGCACCCCCAAGTCTCCACCCCTCCCACAGCATTTATTAAGCACCTGCAGCATGACAGACCCTGGGTTCTGGAAAACTGAGGCTTTCTACTTCAGTTTGTTTAATTTGCTCCTGGCCCTCTCACTGCTCTTCTCCAAACTCAACCCCATCCTACGGGGCCCCCTGAACCCTAGACGTGCCTGGAGTGAAGGTCCCTGAGCAGACATTGTTATATTCCTGTCTGTTCTGCACAGGCCAATGGACCGTTGAGGCGGTGCTTACATTACCGGTGGTGGGTGTCCAGGTTCTTGGTGTCTTGAACAAAGAATTAGGCAAAATGCACAAACAAGAATAGAATGAACCAAGAAAAGCAGAGACATACTGAGATTTAAAGTACACGCCACAGGGTGGGAGTGGGCCCAAGCCTAGGGGTTCAAGAGCCCCATTACAGAATTTTGGGAGTTTAAATATTCTCTGAAGGTTTCCACTGGTTACCTGGGGTATGCCCTATGTAAACGAAGAAGATAAAGTTACAAAGTCACTTACTCGGCATAGCCCTGTGGAGAGGATAGTATCTGTTATAGCTGAAGTGTGAATGAGCCTTATGATCCCTGCCTCCAGACCCTATTTTCCTGCCTCACTTACAGAGCAGGCCACAGAAGCCAGAGAAAAGGCTCTGATCCCAGTGCTGCCCGTCATGGGTGGAAATGGAGGGATGGGAAGGGAGGGACAGTTTCATCGCTTTCCTGAGCCCAGGGGTCCTCTAAGTGCAGAAGGAGTCACACGAAGTGGTCTCCAGGGCTGTCTCTGAGTTCTGACCACTGGGGTCACTCCCCTCTTCCCTCTTGATGACCAGTGAGGACAGGCCTGGGGGATAAGCACACATGTTCATTTTGGCTGAAAGGAAAGTCCTTGAGGGCATCGTGGGGTGTCCCCAGCAGGTTCACTCCCCTGGGGAAATTCCTGTTCTCTTGGACACATATCATCAGCTTTCTTCCTCTATCCTCCCTGGTTATCACTAGCAAAATTGCAACAGTGCAAAATAGAATACTGTGCAACAGTTTGACGCCTCTGTTTCCAGTTCAGCAGAACCTTAAGGCAGGTGGAAGACTGACTTGGGTGGTGGTGGAAGGAAGGGATAGCTGCTAGTGGAGAAGTTTCCCAGGTCTGCCACAAGAGGGCACCTGCCTCACAGAAGGGCCAGCCTGTCTGACGCACCAGTGCAGCCAGAGGACCTGCGCTGTGTCCACTTCGAGAACGAGAACCCAGTACTGAATTAGAAATGCTTGCACCCACCCAGCCCTACTCTTACAAAACTCTGTGTGTTGGTAAAGCCTCTCTCTTAAGCATGAGTGAAACTGATCTGCCTCTGGTAACTTAGTAGCTCCATGTCGACCTGCAGGTGCACGTCAGCACCTGGGAGAGCTGTGAAGGACTGCCCAGCCGCAGCTCCTGACCCGGGCTTGTGAAATGCCTACTGCTCTGCAGACACCCTCTCTTAGAAATAAATTATTCAACTTCCCGAAGAATTAAGGATTATAGAGTCCGAGAGTCAGAAGAGATACAGGATGAGGGAGTCCCGAGGGGAGGGGGTGGTGCTGCTGGTCCAGCCCCCAACCTCACCAAACAAGCAGCTGTGCAGCCTGGCCTGGCGCCTCCACTGCCTGGGAGCTCATAGCTCTCAGGGCAGCCATGGCACCTGGGGGCCCCTCTGTAGAAAGTACCCCCATTCCCCACACTGATCATCTAGAATGTGCCTCCCCAGAGGATGTCACGCCTTGGTGCTCACACCTCATCTCTCTCATTGCCTGTTGGCCTTCTCTTTCCCAGGCTTGGGCAATCCTGATGCCTTAAGGGACACAGTGTCCGGTCCTCTCCTGCCCCATCCATCCAGTCCATTGTTCAGTTTCCTGCCCTTGAGCCTGCCTTGGTCACATGGTGAGGGAGGTCAGCAGCAACACTGATTAGGAGCCATGGTTCTCAGACTCAGGATGTAAGGATGTGGCTCAAGTCTCCCCACCCCAGGCTATACCACAGAACTTCAGTGAGGACCCTGCGGTCTCCTCCGTGGTTAGTATTCTGCCTTCTCTGCTGCATATGCCACTCCTCCAGCCACAACCTCTGCATGTAAAGTCCCACTGGGAAAACTTTTTTTTTTTTTTTTTTTTTGTTGGAGTCTTGCTCTGTCACCCAGGCTGGAGTGCAGTGGCGTGACCTGGGCTCACTGCAACCTCCACCTGCTGGGCTCAAGCGATTCTCGTGTCTCAGCCTCGTGAGTAGCTGGGACTACAGGCACGCACCACCACACCCAGCTAATTTTTGTATTTTTAGTAGAGATGGGGTTTCACCATATTGGTCAGGCTGGCTAGCTCTGAAATCCTGACCTCAGGTGATCTACCCACCTCAGCCTCCCAAAGTGCTGGGAGTATAGCGTGAGCCACCGTGCCCGGCCTGGCAACCTCTTGTTGACTGGGTCTTGTGTTTTTCAACTCCGTGCCAGGTACCCACCCAGTGACTCGACACACTGGACACTTGACCAGCACACATTAAGAGTTAGCACCGTGGGCTTTGCATTTGGTTCCATTTTTTAAAGCTTGTTCCCCTATTTCCCTCCAGTCTCTAGGAAATCACCAGTCCCTGTTCTTTTGCTCATCCCTACCTGCCCTGCCAGAGGGCAGCCTTAGCACTGACTGCTCCATGGAGTCCTGCCTGCTGCTGTTTTCAGGCTTCTTCCCAAAATACAAAACAAGGCAGAGCAGTGTCCACTAGAAATGAGTTTATTACAAACGGAGGAGGCAGGGCTTCGACAGGACTCACACACATGACACTCCTGCTCCTAAAACACTGGCTACGTGACGGGACATTACAAAAACCAGGAAATAAGCTTCTAGATGCTCAGCACGTAGAAGTTTGAGAAGAATACAGAGCAGGGGAGAGCTGCAAGGCAGAGTGATTCTGAGGGTGCAAATCCCTTTCCCAATACGAAGAAGCATCCTTCACCCATCCAGCTCAGGTGCATCTGAGGGCGGGGCTTTGTCTTCATGCTGGAAGCCAAACTGCTCTCACAGCTTCTTGCTAAATTGCCATGGGCTAGGAGGTAAGCAGAGACTGTGACTATCAAGTCTGGCTACTGAGCACTCAGGCACAGTCTGTCCTGTGGCTCCCTGTGCACAGGGGCAGACAGTGTGAGTGCATGTCTGCGGGCTGGACCGAGAGCTCTGTTAACCCGGGAACTGGGCGAGGCGGCGCCGAGCCTGCGTCAGCCGTGCAAGCCGCTCCTTCAGGAACTTGCGCTTGTCACTGGTGTCGCTCCGCTCCTTCAGGAGCCAGCTGTAGGTGTCCTTGTCCTGCAGGAGCTGCAGCATGGCCTTCTGAAGCTGCTGGCCGAATGTCTGGAGCACAAAGAACTGGATGATCAAAGGGATGTGGCTGGAAATGCGCTTGCTGGCCTCCTGGAAGGAAAGAACAGTTCACCAGAGGGTGGAGGGGACAGCGTGAGGAGGGGACTCGGACCTCACATGTGTGCATCAGGGGATTCAGATTCTCAATGAGGGAGACCCTCACAGGGCAAGGGTTTCAAACTCATCAATGTCCTCCATGCTGGGGCAGAGAGGAAGCAGGTACCGTGCAGAGAATGTCCCGGCTATGAGTCATATCCCACCAGCGTTTCCTGACCATTAAACGGGTACCTCTGATGGAAGTGGGCAAAACATGCTCTGTCAAGGTAAGCAGGCAGATGGTGCAAAAACTGCATTTCCAGACCAGCCTGGCCAACATGGCGAAATCCCGTCTCTACTAAAAATACAAAAATTAGCTGGGTGTGGTGGTGGGCGCCTGTAATCCCAGCTACTTGGGAGGCTGAGGCAGGGAATTGCTTGAACCCAGGAGGCGGATGCTGCAGTGAGCTGAGATTGTGCCACTGTAGTTCAGCCTGAGAAGTACTGTGAAATACAGGGCAATAGAGTGAGACTCAGTCTCAAAATAAATAAATAAATAAATAAAAAGCATCATCTCAGCCCTACCTGCAATCAGCATCTGCATTTCGACAAGATGCCCCGGAGACCCTACGCTGAGTGGGGTCTGAGAAGCACTGCTTTCAAGCATCCCAGGAGTGGAGCAATGGAGACATCTGATAAACCAAGAGCTTCCAATTTGCTTTATCTCCTCAGGTTTTCACACATCCCCAGGGCTCTCCCTGAGCTGTGTCTGTGTTCACTCCTTCCTTCCCCAGGATGAATTAGATCGTACTTCATGTTATCTGAAACATGCAGCATCAAAGTATGTGTCGGAGATAGCTCCTGTTTAGTCAGCTACCATTGCATTACAGTGCAGCACTAAGGAACCTGTTGGAAACCAAAAATAAAAACCTATGTCTCCCAACTGACCCAACAGACCCCCTCTCTCGGCCAAGTGGACCTCAAAGAAACCTGAAAATCTGAATTCCAGGCCAAAACAGGAAGAGAAGCCAGGCCCTTCAGGCCCTTTTGGAGTTTAGGTTGAAATTGAGATCAGAAGACTGGCAAAAAAAGACTCTGTGGCAGTAAGATGCCACATTATAAAGTCATGCAAGGCGGGCGTTAACTCACACGTGCCCTGCAAACCAGAAAATCTCCTTAGGTGGGATTTCATGAACTGAGAATAAAGTGGCTTGTTTTCCAATCTGGCTCTGATACAGTGTTACAGTGAACCCCAAGTTTCTCTTCAAAGAATCACTGTCAGTACGTTCAGCTGTTGTTCTTTAATTCTCTATTTTAAAGTTTAACTTCCTTGTAATTCTGATAAACAACCTTCTCCACCGGTTCTAATCAGTAGTTCACATCTGTTCTCCCAGTCCCTGGCTCCATCCTGACTCATCGTGGTCACCTGCTCCGGTCACCTGCTTTGACCTAGGTCACCCGCTTTGACCTAGGTCACCCCTGGCTACCTGCTCTGACTCGCCCATAACACCCACCCTACCACTCCAGCTCGGACCCCTGCTCTCTTTAAAATAGTCAGTCGGGATTAGTCTAGCTTGTGTGGTCTACCCTAGCCAATAGGGGAACGACACAGCAGTAGGGGCGACCCCCGTCAGGCATAAGTGCCCCTCCCCCCTTGTCCAGGCTTGTGGCCACCACGGCTCCCTCAGTGAGCCGCACCTTCTGTAGAAGTAAACTGCCTTGCTGAGAGGACTTATCTTCAAGTGCTATTTATTTTGTGGCATCAAAATTTTACTTATAACAATAGCAACACAAGACAAATAGCAGGCACTAAAGGAAATAAAAATATTTTACCTGAAAATATATTTTTTGGACATATTTTTAAATGGCTGTTACAGGACCAACAGATTGAAATGGCCCTGCCATGTGTTGTTGGGGGGAAATTTGCACCTGTAGAAAATCTCCACTAATGCAGTCAGACCTCTCCCCTTCTAGACCTTCCCTGAATCTAGGTGAGATTCAGTGAGAGCCTGCTGCCTCTAAGGCCCGAGAAGAAAGATTTCCCATCCATTCTCTCCGAAGGCTGCTACCTGGAGTCTTCATCTATGTGACTTTGGCCTCTAAAACTGCCCTTAACTCAGGTATTTCTTTCTACTGATGTCAAGTCTGTAGACAAAGCTGAGCTCTTTCAACCAATGGCCAGCCAGAAAAGTCTCTGAACCCACCTATGACTGGGAAGCTCCCCTCCTTCAAGGTGTCCTGCCTCTTTAGGGAGGACAAGCACACCTCCCTTGTATTGATTTATGATTTTACCTACAATTCCTGCCTCCCTAAAATGTATACAATGAAATTTCATCCTGCCAGTCTCAGGCATACTGCTTCAGGACCTCTTGAGACTGTTCCTGGAGCCATAGTCCCTTGTATTTGGTTCAGAATAAACTTCTTTAAAATATTTCAGCAGAGTTTGGTTTTTCCATTAGCAATCCATTAATATCATCCACACTCATCTCCTGGAATATGCATTAGAATCTATGAGGAGACACCATTTTGCAAAGAAAGCTGAGGCTCAGACCCAGATGTCAGTGGCCCTAAGCCACCACCTGTCTGTCTGTCTGAGGTTGAACTGCTTCTATGGAGGTGATATGGTTTGGCTCTGTGTCCCTACACAAATCTCATCTTGAATTGCACTCCCATAATTCCCACATGTTGTGAGAGGAACCCCATGGGAGGTAATTGAATCATGGGGGCAGTTTCTCCCATACCGATCTTGTGGTAATGAGTAAGTCTCATAAGATCTGGTGGTCTGATAAGGGGAAACACATCGCTTGGCTCTCATTCTCTCTTTTGCCGCTGCCGCCATGTAAAAAGTGCCTTTTGCCTCTGCCATGATGGTGAGGCCTACCCAGCCACGTGGAACTGTGAGTCCATTAAACCTCTTTCTTTTGTAAATTGCCCAGCCTTGGGTATGTCTTTATCAGCCGTGTGAAAATGGACTAATACAGGAGGCTAACAAGATGGGAACGCCAGAGCTGACCAATGCCATCTACAGAGACAGCAAGACTGAAGAGAGAAGCATTCAGAAGAAAAGGCACAGAATGGAAGCTGCCATCCTGAGCCCTGAGAAGACGCACCTGGTGATAGGCCATCAGGTGTTGAAAGATCTCCTCCATGGAAGACTCTGCGGATGAGTGCTCAACCATCATGGTAACTAAGGATTTCTTAGACTTCTTTTCTTCTTCCATCTCCTTCTCTCTGACCTTCTGCAGCGCACCCCTGTACACCTGGTCCTGGCAGTAGACAATCTGCTCCATCTGGAAGTGGAGGCGGATCTGCTTCTCACTTTCCCTCTCTTGTTCTGCTCTAATGTCTTCGATTTTGGACTACGGTAAAAGAAAGACACAACTCAGTCTCCCCCAAGACACAAATTCCCAAGTCACCGGGAAGTAGGTAAGAAGTCTGTAAATATCAGGTGACCCAGTAGTAGCCCTCTGGGCCGTGCCCTGGTGTATCTAAGGTGGGTTTCTAGCCCTGGCTAAGGGTCAGAACTTCTGGGGAAGCTTGAGTCAGAGATGGGCCAGACCCCCATCCCAGGGCCTGGGGACCTACGTGAGCTCCGCTTTCAATCCCCATAACTCAGCTTCTTTCTTTTCTCTTTTAGGAGCTTTTATATCTGATGGCAAGGATTGTCATAACCATCAGAAAATCCACAGGGATGAGCAGGAGAGCCAGGGTTAAATCAGACAAATTCTGTTTTATGTTCCTGGGGTTTAGAGGAACTAGGTGACAAAACCCGGGAGGAGAAGCTTCACCCCTGGACCCTCCAAGGCCTTGACGAGGGCCACGGTGCACAGCGGCAGGTGCATCCTGAACGTCTTCCTCCACATCCATCTCAACCTTCTGAGGAAGGCCTTATTAGTCTCATCTTATGAATGAGAAGCCAGAGGCACAGGCTGGAAGCAGTACATCCCAAGGCCTCCAGCTGGTGAATGACAGGGCCAGGCTCCCCATCTGGGCTGGCGGCCCTGTTTCTAAGAGTGGCTAAGTCTGGTCTCTTGGCCCAGCCTGTCCTCCAGGCTTATTTCCTGTAGGCTCTTTCTCACTCCGGATAGAAAAATTCGATTTTTTTTTTTTTTTTTGAGACAAAGTCTCGCTCTGTCACCTAGGCTAGAGTGCAGTGGTGCAGTCTTGGCTCACTGCAACCTCTGCCTCCTGGGCTCAATCAATTCTCAAGTGTCAGCCTTCCAAGTAGCTGGGACTACAGGCATGCACCATCACACCCAGCTTATTTTTGTGTTTTTAGTAGAGATGGGGTTTTGCCATGTTGGCCAGGATGGTCTCGATCTCCTGGCTTTAAGTGATCCACTGGCCTCAGACTCCCAAAGTGCTGGGCTTACAGGCTCACCATGCCCACCTGGGCCAGAAAGATTCTATTTTTACATGCAGCTTCCTCAGTGAGTTTCTGGATTTGGAGCCATTGCCCTCAGATGTGATAGTCTTCTCTGCGGACTGTGGATCTCTTGTTCTATGAGTTTAAGCACCCTCTCCTTCACTGCTTTTAACCAGATCACTGGTAACACTGGAAGATGCACTAGTGAGTGATGTTATTTGCTGCTCTAAATGTATACAATGAAGTTGAATCATTCTAATCCAATAAATATGTTTTCTAGTGTCAAGCTGATTATTATTATTATTATTATTATTATTATTATTATTATAAATAACACATGGTTGGTTTTACCTTGGCAGTTCTGTGGAGGTTAAAAAATTCTTCAAAATTTTTTATCGAAACATCTGTGAAAGCGAGCCGGACCATATCTAATCAAAGAGAGAAAAATAGTTCAGTATTAGTAGGATCATTTGTGCTCTTCCTAAGATGCAAAAAGTATGAGGAAAAGTGTTAGGAAATAAAATTTCCCCTCTCCCCCTTCCCTTCCTTCTTCTCTCTGCTGTGAAAAAGGAAGGCATGCTCTTTTTGCTTAATAACTTGATGGAAGAATCTTAAAAGCAAATTACCCTGGAATACATTTATTTGATATTTAAACTTTTTATCCTAGTTGCAAAGAATGTAATTTCTGTTAAATTATAAATATTAATATTTTATAATACAACCTAATATAAGTCAAATCACTCTTAAATATATCAATGGAATTTGAATGTCTACATTATCCATATGAAAAAACCCAAGAACAAGTCTTAGATTAAAAAATATTTAATAAAAATAGACCGGTAAATGTCAGTAAAGTATATTCCAGAGTTCTTGGTTGACCTAAGGAATGGGTCATAAGAACCCTGATTTATAGACAGTCTGTCAGAAGTATGGGAGATCCGGGACTTGTAGTTCAAGACAGTCTTATGGGACTGAGCCCTTACGCTGTGGGGTCCGCACGGACTCGGGGTAGTTAGTGTCGGAATTGAATTGTACACCAAGTTGGCACCTGGAGAACCAGACATTTGCTTGTTGGTGTGGGATGTGTCCCACCCCAGGAGGAAAGCGCTGAAGTTTGGTGCTGGCTGCTTTGGTTCCAACCCTTCCCTTTCTTAGAAATCAATGCCCAGAGGCGAAACTGAGCACTCACCCGTCACGGTGTGCAGCATGTCCACAGCCGGCTCTTCCAGCGCCTTGATTTGCTGTTTTACGATGGTCTCAAATGTCCTGTAATTCACAAATCCTGGCAGCTCTCTACCACGATACTGATTTTCAAATTTCCGGATTTTCCTACTCATAATTTCATGGCCTACAGCAGGAAACAAAATGACTCCAAATTATTTTACAAAAATAATTTTCTAAACACAATACCATTCTAGGTTTTCTGAAAATATAAATGGCAAGAAAAAGTGATATGAAATCAAATCTAACTGGGAAACTGAAAATATTCAGGAATTGTACACACACACACACACACACACACACACACACACACACCAGAGCTCAAGATAATTTTCCTTAGTCATCTAAAGGAGAGTGTAGAGCCAGGTACAATGCCACACATCTGTACATGCAGAAACTTCAAATACGATCCATTCTTATATTCCCAAAGTTGTGCAACCATCCACAGATGTAACTCCCGAACCCCACGCTCATCGGCAGCCACGTCCCACTTTTCTGTCCTCAGCCACTGGCAACCACTATTCTGCTTTCTGCCTGTCTGGATTTGCCCGTTCCAGCCATTTTCTATCAGTGGAGTCATGCAGGATGCGGCCTTTGGACTGGCTTTTTTCACTCAGCATGGCATTTTCAAGGTTCACGTGTGGGGTGCCATGGGCCAGCACTCTGTGCCTTTCTGTGGCTGGAAATATTCCAGGGCTTGCTGTTATGGGTTGAGTGAGCTGTGCCCTCTTCAAATGCCTATGATGAAGTCCTAACCCCCAAGAACTCAGAATCTGTGTTTGGAGATAGGCAGAGGTAATTAAATTGAAATCAGGTCACTAGGGTGGGCCCCCATCCCATCTGCCTAGTGTCCTTCTAGAGAAGATGAGAACACAGCAACACACAGAGGGGCCACCATGTGAGGACCCAGCGAGAAGATGCCATCTGCAAGGCAAGGAGAGAGGCCTTAGAAGGAACCAACTCCACCTCCAGAATTGATCTTGGACTTCCAGCCTCCAGAATTGTAAGAAAATAAATTTCTACTGTTTAAGCCCCTCCCCAAGTCTGTGGTCCTTTGTTACAGCAGCCGGAGCCAACTGCCACACACACACAAACACACACACACACACACACATACACACACACACGCACGCACACACACACATACACATACACACACACACACGCACACACACACACATACACACACACACGCATGCACACATACACATACACACACACACACGCACACACACACACACATGCATGCGCCAGTTGGTTGGTCAATTCAGCAGATGGTCGTTTGGGTTCAGTGATATGAAAGGGAGCAAATGTGGCTTTAGTGTCACTAACTCCTTTTCCTGGCCATCCTCCCGCACCCCACCCTCATCTGTGTCAGGCTTACCACACTACTTGACTTGTTGCTATGGTCTAAATGCTGGTGTCCCCTAAAAACTCATATGTTGAAACTTAATCCCAGTGTGATGGTATGAAGAGGTGACAAGTCTCCAAACCAACATTTTCAAATTTTTCTTCCATTTCTTCTAACTTCGAATCACTAGAAATTAAAACTGTGCTTTTCTTAAAGCCCAGAAAACAGAAGCTAAACTTAGATGAACTTCAGGAGAATGCACACCAACTTACATATAAACAGCCTTCATGACTGCTGGTATATACACTACTCCGAAATTTCACTTTAACACCTGATTCAAAGCATAATCCAGAAAAATCTGTCAGATTAACCTGGAGGTACTTCAGAGGCTCTAAAAAAAACTAGTCTCTATGCTACTCCAGACATTAACCTTGGGGAGGACTGGGTTATGAGCACCCTGCCCTCATAAATGGAATTCCAGGCACACCTTGTTTCACTGCACTTCATACTTTTTTTTTTTTTTCACAAATTGTAGGTCTGTGGTGACCCCATGTGGAGCAAATCTATCAGTATCATTTTCTTCAGTAGTGCATGCTCACTTCATGTTTCTGTGTCAGCAATTTTTTAGCAATAAAGTGTTTTAGAATAAAGTGTGTACTTTTTTTTTTTAGGCCTAATGCTATTACAGCATGGTACAAACAAACTGTTACATGCACCAGAAACCAAAACATGTATGTGACTTGCATTATTGTGATACCAGTTTTGATGGTCTGGAACTGAACCCACAGTATCTCTGAGGTATGTCTGTGGTACCCCTGTAAAAAAGGGGTCTGAGGAAGCTTGTTCGTCCCTTCTCCCATGAGAGGACACAGCTAGAGCCATCTTTAAAGCAGAGAACAAGCTCTCACAGACAGCAAATCTCCTGAGTCCTTAAGAATGGATATTCCCGCCTCTGGAACCATGAGCCATCAGTTTCTACTTTTATAAATTACCCAGTCTCCGGCATTTGGCTGTACCAGCCCAAAGAGGGGACTAAGATACTCACTTGCTTGAAAATTTTTTTCAATGACTATACTCCATTTGCGGAACTCGTTTCGGAGTTTGGTAAACAACCGGACGTCTTCCTCTCCCACAGTCTCCTCCCCTTGAATGAAAGCAGCGATGTCCTGATTAAAGGCATTAATTTTCTGTCAAGAAGAAAAACACCGGTGTAAGCGGAGAAACTTCCAACACAAGTGTCAAGGTCATTTTGAGGCTGTGCCTATGTGGAGGGTGGGGGGTCATTCTTTGATTCCTTATGGGGCACTGTAGATCAGGGGGAAGAAGAGGTTTTGGCACCAGAAAGTCCCATCCCACCCGTTGGTGCCTTAGGGATCTGGATGATGCTGCTGACTCCACCCCACACCCCGCTCCCTGCTCTGCCGCCCTCAGCCCCGGCCTGCCCGAGTGCTGCTGATGGATGGGATGTCTTTGGATCGGCCTTGGGGGAGTAAAGAAGGAAGTGTGGAAGGCCCAGCGCCCCTTTTATGACCCCGACATCTGCTTCTCCAGCTTGATGGCGCTGGTAACACTCACGTCTATCAGGAAGAACATTTTTTCATTTTCATCTTCCGGGATGTCCACACCATACTTCTGTAGCTCCTCTGTTATTTTCTGGTGACTCTCCTTGATTTGATTTTCTAACCGGGGCATAGATTTCTGAGGAAAATGGAAAGAAAATAATGGGAATGTGTAAAGATCAACAGGGAATGGAAGGGAGGTCCCGGGCCTCCCTCTGCAGAGGAGCTGCGTGAGCCATTAGACTTCCCGGCTTCCTCTGAAAGGAAGCTTTTCCAGACCCAGGGGGTGGGGAGGGGGCACATGCTAGGGGCACTGTTTTCTGCCCAGGTCTTCCCCCTTCCCCACTCCTGTAACCACAGCCTCATGAGTAGCACTGAGGCACCCGCTGTGTGTGGGTCCTGGGCCCTGGAAGGGTGACCCCAGGGGCAGTTCCTCCTGTGGTCATATTAGGTAAACTCTCTGTAGGGAGGCTGGAGAGATTCACTTGTTTAGTAAGTTCTGAAAAAGCAGCTTTTGGAGCAATTTGAGAATCAACAATTTTTACGTTGTTTGCAATCAATAAAAAGTGATCAGAGACTTAGGTTTCTAACAATACTGTTGACGCCACATGCTGGCTCACCCTTCCACGGCAAACATCTAAAAATGCTGGCTGACATGTGAAACCATACCCTTAAATGTATCAGTGGGCTGACAAGTTAGTGAGGGGCACTCAGAGGCCAACCCCAGTAACAGTGGCCACGTAGGGGCTCAAGAAGAAGGCAGCAATGGAACCTCGCTTAGCCGCAAGGTAAGAAAATGCAAACGTGAACCTATGAGGCTTACTTGGTGCAGAGGCAAAAAATCAACCCCCATGGGCTTGCTGGAGATGGAGAATCTAATAAAGATGCATCCTCTTTCTGCATTAAGTGGGACCCCATAGAACTCTGCGTTCATCACAGTCAGCTGGAAACAACCCCATTCTGCACCTGCATTCCTGGGGACTGCGTGGAAGACCTTGTCCTCTGGTGCCGAGTTGAAAATTTGAAAAAGGCCAGCCTAGCCAACATGGCGAAA